TTACATTTTTACAACTTGTGGAGATTTTGTTGATAAAGGTTCAGTTGTTATTCCATGCTGCCGCATGCTGTTCGTCAAAACGCGCACCCTTGTTAAATATAAAGAATATATAAATATAAATAAAAATTGACAGAAACTGTGGACAGATAGACGGAAGCGGGAAACACATTTTTTCGTGCTCTAGGGGTCATGGCCCACTGAAAAAAAACAGACAGTCGCCCAATAGGACTCGACTAAAATAGATACATACTTTCTTAGCTTACGCTCGAAAAGTAAAAATAACGCATTATATCTTAAGTTTTCTTAAAAAAAGCCTCTAATGTCTGAAACTAGCAATCCTAAATATCTTGAATTGTCTACATTTTCAGTATCAAAGGTCTTGGAAACACTCTAACTAACTTAAATGTTGTTTTCTATGTTGCGAAAAATCAAGTAGGTATAACACATCAGTTTTAATTTTGAGGGCAACCCTTTTAACGGCAGATATGGCCTTATCACGTTGATTCCTTGGCCCCGGCAGCAACCTAGTCGTGACGCCTAGAGTACAAAAAAAGTGATCTCCCGTTTCCGTCTGGCTGTCTGTCTGTCTGTATGGCGTCTGTGTCGACACGTAACTGGTTGTTATTAAATTTTTATGTATATTAGGAGTATCATGTACATGTAAATGGTAAAACGCTAACTAAAACTTGGCAAATCATTACAAATGGGAGGACGTCATCTCCAAAATTTATAGTAATAAATTTTATTTAACTGTATAAAATAACATAACTTGTGATGTTTGAATGAACTGTATTTTTAGAAATAAAATCAAATTTCTAAAACAACATTTTGCAATTTAAGTTTGAAACTACTGCAAAACTGAATGCTCTGAAGTCTTGCAAACGTTTTACGAGGTGATCGTAATCATGGTAAAGCGTTGTACAAAATTTATTCGTTTGTTTCCTCCGAAAAAATGAATGACGTCATCTCAAAATTTTGCCTAATAAATCCTGTCTGAAATATGCAAAATATTATGACTCTATACTTGTGGTTTATCAGTACACTCATAGTTTTTAGAATTACTTATACAGGGTGACTTAAAAAAATTAATGAATGAGGCAAATTATTTTATTGATTAAATCAAGAATGACTCACTCCATTTTCCCGAAAATTTGGGAATACAGTCCTGTTGTTATTAGTGTTACACTGCATCTATCCAAATTAATACACATGTCTTTGCAAAAATGTTGATGACGTCATCACACAATTTTCAACAATCACCTGAAACAAACGCGTACCACACTTCTTCTCCTTTACTTTAACATTATATACATATCTTTATTGTGACTTATAAAAGTTATCATAAAAAAAAAAAATTCGCAAAATCCACGCTTTTAATTTTTCGAAAAAGCTAGATTTGTTCTAATGTACTTCAGCAGCGAGGGACTGCTAGTGGGTTGCTAGAAGATATTCTTTAGAATAGCCACATCTCACGTCACTTGATTTTTTGGCACTTTAAGTAAATGGTTGGCATAATTAAACCAGGATCTTTGGAAGAATTAAGAGAAAGTATTGACAGAGTCAGCAAATGACTCCGGCATTTTTGCACCATGTCTGGAAGCGTTTGAAACAATTGTCAAGGGCGGCAAGTGCCCCCCCCCCCCAAATTACAACGTGGGCGTGGCAAAATAGTAACTTTTAATATTCAAAAAATTATCCGGAAATTTGTGTCATACTTATCAAAACTAATTTTTTTCTCTTGCTCCACTTATACAAAATGTATCAAAACTTACATCCACTTACATCTAAAGATGTTGTGTCTTGGATATATGATATGTTGCTAATGAAGTGCTGATAAAAGCCGGAGACCGAATCATGGCTGATTTAGATGTTTTGTTTACACCGTTGCTATGGAAACGGTGCGTCTGGTGGCGGTATTAAAGTGCAATCGAGTCGCAGTTCCGATAGTGTCCAGAGAACCAGTAACTCAACTGCGGGTTTTAATTTTCATTCTGCGCGATTGAAATTGTCTGATTTTAAATAAAAATAATGAATTCAGTTGAATATTTAATAAAAAATCGTCCTCGGTGTCAAGACGGTAACATTTTAGTGAAAAATTTAAGGAGAGCCACCCCCGATTGATTAATAAAAAACGTGTTCATGGCAAAACGAGAGACTTTCGTAGATATTTTAATAGACGTAACACGTATGATAAATATTCTTGAATAATCTTTTCGGTAATACAGACATTCGGAAACAACTAGACACCGCCTATATTAATAATATTCGGGTACAGGCAAGGGTCGACAAAAATCGCCATATATTACGCCCATTGATAATGTGCACAAAATTTTGTGGAGTGTTCGAATTTGCTTTACGTGAACAGGATGAAAGCAGGGAATCGCAAAATCCAGGTATATTTCGAGGTCTGTTGATTTTACGGCTGAATTGGACTCTGCTTTATCAGATCATTTGAAAGAAGCAACGGTGTTTAAGGAACGTCTAAAAGTGTCCAAAATGAACTTTTAGATGACTTCAACGTAAAATTAATAATATTTTTTTACTTTTATTGAATATATTTTTGTATTTTTTCCGTCACACAATTTCGTCTATTAATTGGTAATAACAACCTGTTTTATATCTTCATATTTAACTCATCAATCAAATTGTGTTCCCTCATTTCAAAAGGTCACGAGCCGCCACTGTCATTTGCATGGAAATCAGTGGAGCTTGTAATTAATATCGTATAATATTAAAGTTCATTAATTGTTACTGTAATTAATTCATTATAATAAATTTAAAATATATGTTGACTAGTGAAAAATTAATTAACAGTTGGAAGAAGGTATACTTAACTATAGTTAGGTATTAAAACCACAAAATACGTGTTAGTAACACTATTTTAATAATTTAATAGTACAACAATGGTAGTCCCATTCATATTTGGTAAGGTGAGTAAAGTAGGTAAATATTATCCTTTTAGTTTTAAACTTAAAAAAATGCATCTATTTTTAAGCAAATTGAAGAACAACCTCAAAATTATTTATAAAGCTAGGTAGAGATTCCAACTGAGAGGTCGCTTGACCACCTTGCAATAAAAATTTTAAAGCTGGGGACCGTAGGGTGCAAACAACCCTTAAAAACTAAAATTGATGTTTTTGGATTTTTCTCGAAATAAAACAGCAGTAGGTGTTATTTAGGGTGGTTTCTTTTCATTCAAATACCCTGCACAATTTCTGTAGAAAATTGCATGCAAATGTAGGCGTCGCTATTACCTGAACACTACGAAGCCAGAGACCATTTACTACACCTGGGTGTTAAAATCAAATTTATCAAGCTCCAAGTTTTAAAGGATACGTTTAAACAGATAGATGGTAGAATTTTTACTGTCAGTGTTTGCTAGTCTACAAGTAAATATGCAAGGAATAAATTTAGGTGTGGTTCGTAATGAATAATGATTTTCACAGTAATAAGAAAAACACCATTCTATAACATAGACGTGTGAGATATCGGATATCTTTCACACAAGCAGATTAAAGATTCAAGCTCTTCATATTTCTAGGCCACATAAAATGACCGTGAACAAAATTTGTAAGTAAGAAAACGTATTTTCGCTAAAAAAAAATATATGGGTGTATTTTGCTAAATAGACCAATCTGAAGGTGTTAAATAGAGACAGGGAGATGTTGTTTTTACTGATGTTTTCTAATTGAGCAGCACGAATTACTAAAGTAGCTAACGGTACAGATATACAAAACGCTCGAGACAAAACGATCCACCCAAGCTGTTTACAGTAATCTCGATAAATCATTTTAAAAGAGATAAACACCAATTTGCCGTTCCACGCAGACTAGTGAAACATTTTTGTACAACCATAGAAGTTTTTGACGACGATTCTACTTTTCTTTAAAAAGTATTCGTCAAAAACAACAACGAACAATGCTATAGACATTGCGAAAGTGCTCGATAAAGATGCATGACGTCAGTTGATCATAGAGCATGATTCGCTAGTCCGACTGACAATGAGTGAATGTTGCAGTACAACACAACTGCCAATGCCGTAACCTAGACTAAATTAATTGTTTTCCATTCCAACATTTTTACTTTCATTGTAATGATAAAACATTTCGTCTCATTTACAATTTAGAAAATCTAATCCAAATCGAATTTCACTTAAGTAAATAGTCAAGAGATAACAAAAATATGTGAAATGAAGGTCATCTAAAAATAGTATAAGCGACCAGAAGGCAACAAAATTTGTTTTCTGCTTAATCGTCTCTGCTAAATCTCTTGGCGTTGGAGACCTCGGAAAGCAACATCGAGCATGCGCTATCGATATAATTTTTACTTGGTGCTGTAATTTCGATCAATTCCATTTCTTAAAGTAAAAAAAGTCACCCCAACGGCTGAAAGATTTGTTCATTATTAATGGCATATACATGGGTATTTGAAATACGTACAGTTTTATCGACGTAAGCTACGCTCAATTAATAGTCCCAGACTAAAACAGTTGATTTGAAAAATTAATTAGCAAAATTTGGAAATTTGCTAAATATGAAATCGTACTAACTTTATTAGTATCATATTCAACGAGTAGTGTTAGCGTATACAATATAATGACTCTTTTGCTTCATACATTTTATATAACGGCCCGCTCGGTTTCTCCTGCAGCCTAGTTATTCAGTCGCCGTTACGTACTTTGTTTTTCAATATTGTAAGTTTTTCAAGAAGTATTTAATTTCAGAAACTTCTTGTGCTGCTGTAATTCACAGGGAGAGTATAGCGAAAGGTCTGTGTGATTCTCGCGTCCGTAACTGAGCTAAAATAATATGGGTCATGAACCCAAGACAAGTAAAAAGCGTAAAATGTATAAAAGTAAGAAAGAACTTTAATATAAACCCAAAGTTGACGTCAAGTTGCTAAACATTTATCAGAATAGGGTACAATAGAAGGCGCGTACCGGTTGCGCCGTAGTCGTATAGCACGGTTCCAACATTTGGCAACGCCGCTCGACCAGTCTTTCTCGACGTCGCTTTTTATGACACAGTGAGTACGGTAACAGTCAAAGCGATAGTGGCGGCACTTAGTTTGTGTTTTATAAATTAAAAAAGAAGAAATGTAAATTCTGTATTTCACCGGGAATTACATCAATGCCTGTAGATGTTGTCCGCAGCCTATATTTTTGAGGTAAGCCCACAACATTATTGCTGTGCTCATATATGGTGAACTAACCTTAATGTCACGAACAGAACACACCACAGTCACTGATAACGTAGCTGCTTACGGCAATTATTAGTGTTACATGTGTAGTGAGTGTTAGAAAGATAAAGTGAGGTTATGTGGTGACACTTTCAAGATGGCTAACATTCTAGATGTGGGTGGGGGAATACGATCGTGATCGAAGGATCACGAGTGGTTTACGAGCATTGCGCTTAACTCCCCACTCTCTTACTTAACTAAACCTATATAACACTCATGGAAAAATAGATTTTTCACAACCAACGTAGTGTTTTTCTGTTTTTGATATATTTCTAGAACATCTAAAATATATACAGATGTTCACTTTTATTGTATTATTTATCAGTGTCGAATAATTGCTTATTTGATATTAAGCAGTAAAAGTATAATTAATAATATAGAGATTATACATTTATATACGGATTTAATGAATCGGAACTCTCGTTTGAAATTGTTATGAACGATAACTTATTAATCAAGTGTTAACGATGCTAATTTTAATATATTAACTAAGGTTAACAATTTTTTACAGTATGTTCTTTATCATAAAATCATGCAAAGCAAAATTCAACAAACATGAGATTTGTAAAATAGAACACTTTGTCAATGTATTCTTTTACGTTTTCTTTTTTTGTAAAAGAAGGAAAATGTTTATTATGGTTTGTTGCGATTTATAAATAATAATTAAATTTAAAAGGACACTACTTTTGTTGGTGGAAGTTTTAATAAATTACTAAAGACTTGTTATTATGTGCCATTTTGCATTAATTTTTTTTTATATATATATATATATAAAATATGGCTATATTTTTGTACACATTAATTACTACTGGTGTTATGATTACAACGGTTAAATGAAAACATGTTTTATATTCAGTTATTACAAGTCTTGAAAATCAGCCTAAAGCCTTCGGAATGTATCGTCAGACCACGAAAATTATGTAATGAAGGAGCATACAGATAGCTTGCATATATGAAAAACGTTTGTGTAATCCTTTTGGAATTTGATATAAAACAGTTCCTAAAATAAAAACTAAAAGCATTGTCTTTGTTGAACTACCTCCAAAGTGGTTTTACGGCTTGAATGTGATACCATTTGTCTCAAATGACGTATATTTAATTTGGATAAGCTTTTGTTACGTGGCGATCAATGGTAAATTTGACCGTCCCATTACAGTCGAAATATATTCAAACTGGCTTTCGAAAGTTTTTGGACATGATAATAGTTAAAAATATATATTTCATCGCCTGATAATAGTTAAAAATGATTTTGATAGTTGTATGTAAATAAGATATTTTCATGTAAGGTCGATAAGAAGATTTCGAAAAAATATAGAATTCTTAATAATTCCGCCATTTTGTCGAGCGAGTACTGTGTGTTCGGCTGCTTTAGCTCGGCGAGTTCATGTTACGCCGGACAGGGGAGTCGCGTTCATTTACCTCTTGCAGCGATGCCACTTTTACACTGCGCCAAAGCTCGTAGAAAGTCAAAATAATTATTATGACGTGGATAGTTCAAAAATATTTTGATATTTCCGTATGTGGAACTTTCTTACGCAGTGACCTACTCGCGGATAAGAGAAGTAATTTATTGTCAGTGGAACTGCTTTTGGTTCAAGGTCATAGTAAAAATGTCGGGCAAATATGTCGTAGCCAAGAACTTTGGTAATAGATGATTACTAAATTTACTAATTGTAATTATTAACCGCGTTAACGTTAAAAGGACAACAAAATCTCTGAGCCGAAATATATTTTTTTAATACCAACGTGACTTTGATTATACCCTACAAGAGACGAACATTTTGTATACATATACGGTATAGTTCAAAAAATTAAACTGAGGAACTTTGGTAATTAATCGTACACAGTAACCGTACATCAATGAAAGTCTACAATTTGACGTACTGTCGTGAATTAAACATATAGTTTTAACAAATATAACTGTTTTTGAATATTGCAAAGTAGATTGCACCAACGCGTGTAAATACAGGGGACCGGTTAAAAGAAAAATGGGTGAATTTTTAGGAAAGTATTGGCATTATAAATTGAAGTTTCTCGGGAACAAAGTTGTTCGAGTATGATTGCGGTGCGGCAAAAACAGAACCGCTCGCGCTACAGTATTCCTATACCGTGCTCCCCCAGAATCTGTAAATAGACTCGCCCAGTCTGGATGCAATTTTGGTCAATCAGAACCAAGTGCAAATGTGCAGTCAATCGGCTTTTGGTTTTTTGTTCATTAACATTTTTCAATTAGAATTTGGTTAATATTCCTAATACAACTGAACAACTACAACTACAATAAAAGTAAAAAGAAAACTGAGTATATATATATACTTATCTCAAATTAAAAAATTCAAATGTAGATCGCTGTCATATCTGGAATTTTGGATTTTTGTTAACTTTAAACTGTGTGAGTTCGATAAAATTGATTTCGTTTGAGAACTTATACGACAATGCTGTGTTGCTATTACTATCGACTAAAACCCAATAAAATACGACGTTTGATGAATTCTACTGAGTAAATAAAATTTTGTATAAGATCACTAATTAAGTATAGTCCCCGTTTGTAAACAAGAATCACTGTGATATGCATACGTGCTAAAAGGTTTCATATACTATTTAAACTTTAAACGAGAATATAAATCTGCCAAAGTTCATCTAAACTAGTCTTTTTAACGTATATTTGTTTGGTCATCCCTGGCTCTGCGACTAATCGATTTGGGACATGTTCTGAAGACTTCGGGCAGTTGATCGGATAAATCGGTTAAAACTGCAGTTTTTGGTGAACTCATCATTTCAAATTTGTTAATAAAGACGAAGGAACTTATTAACAACACTATTTTCTAAGTGAGTTTTTGGAATGTCGACATCAATTTGCATTTTTCTGGATTTGGAAAATAAGAAATCAAAAAGTATGTCCACGTTGAATGTGGGTTAGTCCATTGTAAGCACGAAGGGGAGTAGTAACAATCTATTGCGTCGCAATCTGACTTGAGCGCGTTGTTAGCATAGCCGTAGCGCAACGGTTAGATTTACGTAACGATGAAATCATGAAATAACTCAAGTGCGCAAGTCATAGATTTTTTTAATGTAAAAACTGGTAACGTTTATCAAAAAATTTAGCAAATATAATTTTCTTTTGCAAATAACAGTAATTGTTGAGGTGCAAAATAATTCTCAGTACGGGACCGCATTGAACAATTTCTTTTGTCTTACGAATTGTTGTTGGTCGTTATTAAATGTCAACATGTAACAAATACCCACTATATGCTTTGACAATGGTACATACGTAGCGCGACAATTGTAGACATTCTTGGTGTCAGTTTTTCTGACGGACACCCCTCGCCTGCGCTATTGATGGACTCGTCCAACACTATAGCACTGTATGGTAGACCATGGATAGATTTTATTTCTTGTCCATAGTTATACATACTAACTTTTCTCTAAAACGATTTTACACAATTATCGGCGTACGTGGTCGAGTTGGTTATTTTTAAAATAACACTCATTTTCTTAAATTAGATTTCCAAATATAGCAGTTTTGATTTGGTTTTTCTTTGCACATTGTCTGTCTCTTAAGCAATATTGTAGCTAAATTTCTGGTAATTGCAGTTATTTGGGTGGTGCCACGCACAAATAGAAGCGGAATATTTTTCCTTTGCTTGCCCTCGAGAGATGCTATCGTAAAGTCACGATTAATCGAAGTTGCATAGGCAGTTTTCAAATGTAAAAAAGTTCTTCCTAATTTTTAGCATTACCAATTATCAACAATCTAATCTGTTGCCAGTTTGGTCATTAGAAACAGACAAGAAACGAGTCAAGTAATATGAGGTCAACAACGTGCGCATGCGCTCGCGACCACTGCTTTTGTACGACCTTCATCACATCTCTAACGATTTTTTCATTTCGATGTTGTATTTCGTAAATTTTGCGATTTTGGAAGCGAATCTTCCACGATAATTTCGCTCGATTGTCTTGTTTTTCCAAGTCTCGGATCTTCGCTGCGACTCTATTGATTTTCTGGTGCCTTTTTGCTACCACTATCGCTTTTCCTGAAGTTGTTTACTTTTAAATCATGCTAGTTTTATCTGTGTTGTTTTGTACTTGTCATTCAGTTCACATTAATCCTAATTAATTTAAAGTTAAAAATGTTGCGAAGAAAAAATCTAAAAGTGTAACCGTTGAATGAAACAGGGTTTACTGGTTTTAAAAAATAAAAATAAAACTTCTATCGATTGAAAATAATAATATATTGGCCGTAGCTAAAAAGTTTTTCCATATAGGCGACGTCCAAGTGCGCTAGTTTTCTAGCCGTGCGTCAACTTGGCTTACTTCCACACCCACATTCGTGGGCGCCTCCCAAGACCACCGTGTTTGTACTTACGTATTTTTGTTCAATAATGCCCAAAGGACTTTTTCCCATCATGCTGGGGGATGCTATTGGATCAAGGTTGTTCCTAAATGCAATGTAACATTTAAAACAAGGGAAGATATTAATTGTTTTATGCATTATGCGCCCCAAGTTAGCACTGCTAACACTCAACAATTAATATTAAGGGACTAATATAGGTCCTCAGGTGGCCATTATATGATCTTCTTTGTGTAGACAAAAAGTTAGTTTTTCCAAACCCAGTTTGGCATTGGCGGAAATCAGCACCGTATTTAGCAAAAAACGAAGTACGTTTAGAAGGTATGACAGAAAGATATATTTTTCTAGCATCATTTTCGGCCCAGGAAGTATTTCTGGTATCTTTCTGCGCATGTGTAATGGGAGGATAAAAGTAGAATGCACCACTGTAGAATATCGGACCTGCAGTCTCCAACTCTCGTTGTGAACATTTTGCCGCTGCCGTTCCACTCTAACAAATAAGTGATACTGGCAAAAATTACGGTTTCGCAACAATCAATAATTAATCTTTAACATGGTAATGTATAACGGGATAAATACGTCTCTATAACCAACTATATTGTATTACAGGTTATATATTATCCCATAATTCAGTTGTGCTGAGGTAGGGGTGGGGGGAAAACATGAACAAGTTGGCTATTTTACGATAATATAAATTTGCAAAAATCCTAATGATCATTTTGTTTTGAAATGTATTTACAGTGTTGCGATACTATTAGAATCAAAGTATTGTATATTACGTGGCTATTCTCAAGGTTATTGACATCATTTAGTCATCGGGCTACAAGCGTAGTATATTAACCGATTGATAAGTCGATTGAGTTAAAATCAAGAGGTGCTTTTAACAGATTTTGTAGTGCATTTTTTTTGCAAAATTTAATTGATGTTCATGTTTATGAACAATTAATAATTTTATAATTTTATCGAACTATTTAGGAAATGGTTGTAACTTTTGACAAATTGTGTACAAATTTAATGGTTCAGATTTAGTTTCATTAGATAAACTGTATATAATTTCATTATTCCAGTGAATATTTGACTTTTTCAATGTTGTAAATACTTTATTTGATTCGTACTTTAAAAGCGTGGCACCTTTAGTAAGAGAAAGGCCGAAAGATTGCTCACATTGCAACAAAACAATCGTTATTGTTATTGTAATTAATTGTTTCCTTAGCAAAATACCATGCAAATCTAGTAAACCATGAAATTTTGTTTTCAAATCATGATGTTGACAGTACAGTTATTTGACACTATGTGACAGTTATTTGACCATAAATGTCAAACTGAATAAGGAACGCGTTGGTGTTGTCAACATAATTTTTTTATCATTAAATTTCAACGGTTGCTGGGCGACTTTTTTTTCGATCATATGGTACTACGAACTTTATCCCAACCTTGTCCGCAAAATGATTTGTTGTTTTGTTAAGAACGAAGTTAAATATTTATCAAATGTAAAATTAAGTTATTTTGGCTATTTCTGTTCAAATGAATTTACCATTTCAAATGAATACTATATAGATAACTAAATTGTCTAAATTTAAAAATGTACATCTCTGTGCAAAAAAGCGTAGTACAAGTCCTTTGAACAATTTTTCTAATTTTTAATCTATGTGAAAATTGTTTTTCATTGTTGCTACTATGGTGCCGTACATACCTTATTTCAGATTAACTACTAATTAAAGATTAAATTACAAACTAAAATGAAACTATGCTTTTTCATTGAAAAGAGGTGTACTTTGGTATATTTTGGCAATTAATGTTATGCGGGATTAATGGTTAAATTACAGTTGATTTAATGTTACTAATCCATGCGTTTCGTTCTTATAGTCAGTAAACATCTAACAGAATTGGAGCAAGTCATTTTTGAAAAATAAAAGAAATGTACTATGAAGTGCCTTAAGAATTAAGGTTTGTTGATCACTTATTGGCAATTCGACAAAATAGATTCGATTGTCGGGTACTTATATATTATATAGTCATAAATGGATTGCACATTTTTAATACTTTGGACAACTGAATTTACTGACACGTATTGTCATTCTAATAAAAATGAGATAATTAGTGGTGTGTTACTGGACGACATCTTGAAGTATGAAGTGGTTGTTGAAGATGTTTGTCTAATCTGGTACAAATTGGTTCCATTTTATACTTAATTACAACAGTTTTATATTTAATGAAAATCTTGACTCCTTCTTGTATTGTATGCCAAAGAGTCGAATAAAATTTTTCATTAACAACATCCTAAATCTCTGAAAATGTAGTAATGCAAATTCGTCACGTGTATTTGACTAAACTGATATTAAATAGCGAGCAGCAATTTTTGTGAACGTTTTAGTGTGTATCACATTTAAAGATTTTTATTCTTGTTTGTCGTAGTTATAATTGCGTTACTTTTCTTAACACCAGCCGCTGGATTCCACCTAATCGATACATAATATTCCATTATTATTTTAACATAGTCGGGTTTGTTTCAGTTATGATGCCATCATTGGACCACTGTATAAGTAATTCATCAGAAATGACGACGTTAACAAATACTTTGGAGGTCTTTGACACATACAAACATCGCGATGATAAAGATTCCGATGAAGAAAGTTTTCATCTTCCCTTGGACGATGACGAGTCAGACTCGAGTTAGTGGGTGTTACTAGCACGATTAATTTTTTCTTAACAATTATTTGTTTCAGAAGTTCAGGATTCAGTTCGAAACGGAAACGGTAATGAAACTGAAGACGACATCTTAAATAAATTTGAAGGTGCATCTGGCGCTTTGGATCATATCGATTCTCAACTAGAAGAACGTTTATTAAATGAAGAGGAAGAAGAAAAGAAAGAAGCTAAACAGGAAACTGCCAATACGTCCACAAAAAAGTTAGAGTCAGACTCCACTCAAATTGTCGAAAATGGCATTCACTCACATGAAGAAGGTAAAGATGAAGATGTTCGAGAATCGGAAGCAAACTGTACTGCCTCAAAAGACGTTGCCGATCTTCAACCCGAGACAGATAAACAGTCGTCGCCATCTACCAATCTGTTGGAAAAATCTACCGAAAATGTTTCAACTACAGAAGAAAAACAAGAAAGTCAAAGTGGTGGTATTTTGAACGAGACTAATGCAGAAAAGGGGGCAGCGACAGATATTAATGAAGACTCTAAGAGTGATGCCACTGAAAATAATAATGTTCCTAAAGTAGATGTAGGTGAAGAATTATCTAGTACTAATAAAGATGCAAGTGCAATAGACGCACTAAAAAACACAAATGAACACTTAAGTGTGACTAAGGTTATAAATGCGGCTAAAGAAGATAAACTAAATGAAAAATCCGCAAAAGACAACAATGACTCACTGCAACCTATTGTTGATGAACCGTCTGGTGTTAGTAAAGAACAAAAGGATAACAAAGATATGCAATCCAAATCTCAGGGAGACGTAAATGAAGATGCGTCAAATGAGAATAAATCTGCAGACAAGGGTGATGATCTGAACGAATCGTGTAAACATAACGAGGATTCCGAAGATCTGTTTGATATAAGCATTATTAGAGATGCTGAAGAGGATAATGCAGAAAGTGCTTATAATGAAGCACATGCTGAGGAAAATCAAATTGAAGAAAATGAAGAGTATGATGATAGAGCTGATGACAAAATGGAAGACGATTGCGTTAACGATAAAGGAAGCAATGAAGAAGATGACGAAATGGAAGAAATGGATATTGATAAACATGAAGATCACTTAAAAAGTGATGACGTGGATATAGAAGAAGGGAACCTTAAACTAGATTGTGATGCAACTAAAGACTCAGTTAGTGATGGAGAAGGTGAAAATTGTAAAAAGACTGATGTAGTGCAAATAAGCAATGAACAAAAAGCTAGTGAAAAAACAAACAGTGTAGAAAAACGTGCATCTGAGTGTAGATTGGATGAAGTTACAGGAAGTTTAATTGGTGTTGATGGTAGAGAAATTAATTATGAAGACGATGTTACAGAAGAACATAATGACAACGAAGGTGAGTCACAACGGACATATGCTATGTAACCTGTGCAAAGATATCAATTGCTAAAATGTATTGAAAAAATATGACTCCAAAAAAATTCATTAATACACATTATTGTCAGATATAAATAATGGTGCTCCATGAGATGCACAAATCAATGTGTCTGCCATAAATATGTTAATTAAAAAAAAGTGTATTTTAATTATGTTTGGTTGACTCTTGTTATAAAATATCTGTTCGTCCCTCGAGTAAAGGGACAAAGGCAGATTTAAGGACTTATCCTGGACCGTTTTTGTAGTGTATAATTTAAAATTTTATGAGCCGCTAAGTAGTATTTTTGTTGAGGTAACTTTCCAGAAAATTTTGGAATTATCAAAATACACAATATCTCCAAAGTTCCAAATTTTCTTCATAATGCCATCCACAATAGTTCACAATTTATACTATTTCGTCTTAATACGGAAAAATGGTTTTAATAGACGTCTAATTTTGATAATTTTAAAATGAGTAAAACATAATAAGTTTCAAAAATCGAAATTTTCTTTTTTGAACTGCGTCTGTTTATAAATAAATGCAAGGAATATTGGAAATTTCGAACTAGCATAGTTTTCTAACGTCTTCAACGAATTTTAACTTATCAAATAAAATAAATAATCTGTATGTCGATAGCTTAGTAACAGAAAACACAGTCACGTTGCGTGCTTCATTCACAGATCCACTCAGAAATTCCTTGAAAAGGCCGTCAGCGGAAGATGGTGAAGCCGGAGCAGCAAAAAAGTTACGCACTGAACAAACAGTTGCCGTTGAAGCTAAAGAAAAAGAGAAACCTAAAGAAAAACTGCCATTAAGAACACTTTTATCTCTATCAGATTTTATGAAAACTAGAAAGCACAACAGAAGACTGACTATGCAGGATTTGGAAGAATTCTGTGTACAGAAAATTTGTGAGGCAATAGTCCACAAAAGTGAATTAGGAGATGTCCATCATCAGTTAAAATTACAAGAGCAGCTGATTGAAACAATGCGGAAGGAAATACAACAATTGACAAAACAAGCTCGAGATCTCGAAATTGTAAACAAAAAATTAATGAACGATTTAAAACAACAAACAGCCACACAGAAACCATTGAATCCTTTGAAAATAACAAGATCTGTAGGTTTACAAGTTAAATTTACTCCTACTTTCGAGGCCAACCTAAAGAGGAGACAACCCAATCCAACAGTTTCTAATCAAAAAGTACAAGCACAAACGCCACCTGCCAGGAGCCCAAGGGTCACCCCAAATGTAGTGACAACAGTTAATAGACAAGTAAGTATTGTCTACTAAGATTGAATGCACAGAGCTGAAGATTGTTAGTGAAATAACGAGCATAAGAGGCAATTCTGAATCAAACTTGTTAAATTTAAAGGGTGTTAAAATGCAAATTTCCATAGTAACGAGTTAAATTCGTAAATCTGATTGGCTGTTTATTTTTTAACAACCTTTAAATTTTAACAGGTTTGATTCAGAATTGGCCCTATAGAACTTTTCGTTTTTTATTTATTTTTTTGCTGTGTCCGTTTTTTAATCCAACTGAGCCATTTTTTCTGTTTACGTTGCAACAAACACTTCCTTTTAATAAAATGAACATTTGCTTCATTGTACGGGAAGTCATTCAAGAGATCTGAAATGCCATACACAACACAAGGCGCAGCACTATCGCATGTTCTTCAAATATATGCATAAAAATATAAAGTTGTAGCACATTGTTGTATTTTTTTTTTTTTGTGGATTTATGAATACGACTTTACGTTTGGTAAACTACATACGCACAGTACAGCATTCCTAGTTGCCAATGTTTTAATGGATTAAAATAGGGCTAAACATGATAAGTACAACAGACAAGCAACGAGGTGTTAGTAGAGGTCAAAGCTCGCAGCTTGTGTGAGCGTAGGCCAAGCGACCTATTGTAATTGAATACAGAATTGTGAGTCAGTTATTTAGATGCCCAAAATTATTAAGAATTTGAAAATGTATCTATTTAACATTAATAAAAAATGGATATGGAACTTTAAAATGAAAACTTAGTTCACTGTTTTAGATATTTTCGAATATTTTTTTAAAAAGGCATGTAGTCTATTTAAGTTGAACAGAAAAGTAAATAGTAGGTTTTTGGAAAAAGCGACTTCAATATAACAAGCAGAGGAAGAGGTAGAATCATGTTATACAATTAATTATGTGTATTAGTGAAAATAGCGAGCTACTAGGAACGAGCAAAGCTTGGAGTGTATTAAATACGCTACTGTGTTCTGAGTCAAAAATTAAATAAATAAATAAAGTTTCTGTATTAAATGCTTCTCCATCCGTTATAACAATCAGAGTCTATATCGTTATGTCTTCCCTATATAGGTGGCCTCGCCGCAGAAACAACAGCAAGTTCAGTCAAAACCAACTACACCTTTGTTATCTCAAGCTTTACAAAATCGTCGGTCTCTGCCTACGGATAACACCAACAAAATTCCGAATCAAACAGTTCGAATAAAACCAGCAGATCCAAAAAGTGGAACTCCGTCGGCTTCTGTTATCGATTTGACAGACGAAGATGATAAAAAGGACAAGAATAAGGCCACGCCTGCTAAAATAGTCCCCTCGAAAAATATAACAGTACCGTTACGAACGACCCCCATGCGAGTTAACGCTACCGCACAGGGACTCCGACTGACAACGTCTCAAGGAAAAGTCTCTCCTATCACTTCGGTAGTAACATCAAGCACACCTCAAGTGATGTATGTCGTACAATCTTCGCCTCAGAATGTTCTTACGTCGCCTCTTGGGCCTAAAGCTGTCGTGGTCAATTTTCAATCGGCCAATGGTGTTCTAAGTATGTTTTCGCATTACGCATGTGTAGTATATATCTAATTTGTCATTACTTGCAGCATCGACCTTAAACGGATCAGCCGTTTCTGTCATTCCAAAGCAAGGAAATACTATTCAGCTGAAAACAGTTGCCCCCACGAAAACCTTGCAAAGTAACAAAATCGTAAAAGTTTCCAACAAACATCCCGCGCCTTTGCCTCCTCCGCCCGTCGTTAGAATAAATTTGGAAAAGCCCCTTAAGCCGATACCTCCCAAGCCTCATTTAACCATTAGGAAAACAGATACAGGTATAATTCTGCAGTGGAAGATGCCATACGAGCTAGATATGTATGAAGTCATAGCCAGTTATCAGTTGTATGCATATCAGGAAACTAGTGCATTGCCTAGTACGGACATGTGGAGAAAAGTCGGTGATGTTAAAGCGCTTGCGCTTCCGATGGCTTGCACATTGACTCAATTCGCCGATAAAAATAAATATTACTTCGCAGTGCGTCCTGTTGATATTCATAAACGAATTGGTATGTTTAGTGAACCAGAAGAAATTTCTTTGTAAATATACACGTCTTTGTAATTAGATAGCATTCATTCGTTTCATTTGATATTTAATAACTTATGTTTATAATGTGCATTAAATGACTTACGGAATTAATATAGTTGTTTTATTTACTTTTTTTTTATAAAAATGTCCCTAATCGATCTTTGTTCTGTAAGGAGTAGGGGTAGACAATATAACAAGGTTATGTTTAACAAATACATTCATATTTATTTAATATGCAATACAAAGAGAATCAGTTCATATATTTCTATTAGAATATATTTATAATATAAAACAATTCCGGTATCTATTATTTACAGTATTTGTACTTTTGAGCAAATACTTGTATTGCATGTGTTTAAAAAAAATACGACTATTGTACATTGGTTGAGCATTTAGTAACTGTCATTGTGTAATGGCATTATTGAGGTTACTGCGAGTAGTTGTAGTTAAAAAAACTGAAATGATTCTCTTATTCAAAATACGCTGGACGCAAAATAGTTTCGATTTATAAACACATATACCATCAGATAAACTTTTAAAACAGTGGTTCATGTTTATCTTGCAGATTTTCAGTTAACTAAATTATAATACTTTTGAAAAATACAAATAAAACACACTCGAAAACGAATCTGCAAGATAAACATATTTGATTTAGAGATTGTCTCACGAACAGAAATTAGGGCATTTTATAGACACTAAAATGCACAGGTGTCCAAACACTAACTAAAACATTTACATGACAATTTAAAAAACCCTGTTCATTAATATCCCAGTCTTTTGGTTCTATCTGTTCCTACTGTTGTCACATTTGATACAACTCTTACAGAGTTACTAAGGATTAAAATTTTGATTTTTCAATTAGCATAATATCACTTGACCAACCCTTAGTAAATCTTTACAAGCAAATTATATATCGTGTCAGTCGTACATTTTTTTTTTTTACTTTAAAAGTCGAATATACTAAAATGCAGTGTAAAATGAGTAACACATAACATAACAAAAAACTTAAAATAGTTATTAGACTATCAATGGCACTTAAACATGTTTTAAAATATTTCTATACCATTTCCATTCTAAGAGATCTTATTGCAAACAAAAACTTACTTAAATTTTAATAACACATTAAAAAAAATATTTTTTCATTGATTTTAGCTGCACTTAGTACAAATGTCTTATTACTACTATATGAGTATTTAGAGTAGTTAAACTACGTCAACTTAACGATCGAAATGGAAACACATACGCTAGTATCAGAAGTTCTCAACGATACAAAGTAAGATCCCTAAGTTAAATTTTAAAAATCAAAAATTAAGAATTCCATTTCGATGTTTCAGGAAAGTGTCGTAAAATTATCGATAAAACCATTTCCAAAACTGACATTGCTCTTGTTGAAATATTTTCGAATGGAATGTATCTGTTGAACAGATGAAAATGATCTGGCGATGTAGGAATGCTATTTTTTATAATTAAGTAAATGTTTAATTTTAAACTTAAAATAGATGCCTAATTACTGGTATCAATGAGATTAGTTCACTGCGAAACGATCAATATAGGTGACGAAATAATTAAGAATGTAAAATAATCTTGTGTCCAAATGGACACGAAACTTTAGCTTTTAATGATGGATAATTTCAGTCTTCACTTCTATGAAAATGTTATTTGATGATATGCTGAAAAAATCACGCGATTAATGAATGTCAGTTTGAAAAAGTTTATCCTTCGAAGATAAAATATAGGTATAGTTAATAAAAAGGTCACCCAACTGGGATATCACACAATCACTTAATCTCGTCTTATCTCTTTACAGTTATTATAGTAGGTTTAACACATATTTTAGTAAAAATGATTTAAAAATTTAATTATATACATAAAAATGGCTTATAACTAATTAAATGCTATCACGTTTTATATAAGTCTTGTAGCTCAACAAAACTGGCTGCTACAGCCTTTTTCAATATCATATACATATAATTAAAAAAGGTAGGCCTGCACACCACTTTCAAATCCTAAACAGTTCAATATATATCCTTTTTTACTAAAGTAATCGTATACAAATAATCTATATAAACAAATACATTTACAAAACGATTTGGTCATTAGTTAATTACAATGTTTGTGGTTATGACGGGACCTAGATCAGAATAAAATATGTACAATTTACAACCGCTGCGTCGAAATTTTTACATTTTATCTACTTGTATTGTTTGTTTATTGTTAAGTAGTCAGGAACTCAAATTATAAACAAAAAAAAGCCAAAAATAAATGACATAAAAAAGTAACTGTCTCAAATTAGGTGTGTAGACCGTCTATAAAAAGTTTCTTAAGTAATAATTGTGTATATAGAATATATATTTATAAAAACTGTGGATCATATGAAGAATTGAGTTCTCAACCATCACCCATATGATTATGCATTTTATTTACCTATCTGTTGTTTTTTAAAGATACCCTTTGCAAAGAATTTCATTAAAGTATAAATTTAAGAGATCAAAATTTTAACACTAAGAATTACTTAAAGTGAATTATTAAATGCATATTTTTGACTAAAAAGAATCAGTTAGTGGTTTAATCTATTTTCCAAAGTCTATTACGCGGCGAAAATGTTATTAGAACCCGTCAAACAGTTCTATCATTCTCTCTTGCCGATTTACATTAAAGAGATCACATAAGAGTAAAATCTACCTACAACAATAAAGTTATATTCATTTAAAGTACTTATTTCTTAAAAGTATTGCCACTATGTGAACAGGACACGATCTGGATAAAATTTAAAATACTTTTACATTTTACATATATTTATAGTATGTATACTTATCGCATTAATGTATGTGCTACATTCCGTATGTTACAGTGAACCAGACCTTGTGGTTCTCAGCACCATGTGATAATCACTCAGCAAAATATCATGTCGATATTTTATTGAAATCACCAATAAATATAACTTAACTAGTAAGATCAGTCCGTTAAGCTGGAAACTTAAGTAACAGCATTGGGCTAAGTCCATACACTGGCAAAGGGTCACCCAATACATGGTCCCAGTTGCCAGCTAGCCGTTAGTCACTGAGTTGGCAAAGCGTTGGGCGGCTTGAACTCTGGATTCGCAGCTTGGAATTGGGCTACGCTTGTTGGAGGGTTGAAGCTCGGTGCGTAACACTGCGGGAAATATAATTCTGGTTTTACCACCGTAGTAGGCGTCAGTCCTCTTGGCAGCATTCCATTTGCTAATTTTCCATCGGAACCAGTCGAATCTCGTCTCGTTTTTGCAGCGTGAGGATTCATATGGTTATCGATGTGTTTTTTCACTTCTGGTTCGGTCGCGAATCTTCTTCGACAGTTTGGCATTGGACAACAGAATGGTCGATCACCTGTCGACAAGAATTATTAAGCATGTAATAAATGCGAAAACTTTGTTAAAATAAAATATACAAACGTATATCGCTACAGTATTTTTTGTAAGGTTTTGTTCACTGCAAATTTTTAATTAGGTATATCATAAATGTTAGGATTCAGAATAAGTAGTATTTAATGGATATTTTTGTTAAATATTTTGTTTCTAAAAACTTAAGCGTATTTTCGCGATTGATCAGGTCATGAGTCACTGAACCTAGTCATCAAAGGATCGTTTTAGTATTTTGGTCCATTATTTTTGGTCAAACTACTACATGAATCAAAACACTGTTATTTCCGGTGTGGTTATGAAAATTCTGACCATGCGCTTTTTGGTTGATTACATTTTTTGGTCAAGTGATCTTTTTCGTGTGGAATTGGGTTTGACGGATTTACACGGCAAAACTAATTGAACAAATGACAAAAAAGTAAAACAAAAATACTTCAATCCTTTATGTATGTTATCTACAAATAAATGCGTTAAATATTCTTTAGTAATTTCAGCTGACCCATTATTCCTTTTTACATCCGTGGTTCTTTCACCATCATTGGTAATTAACTATTTATTATTCCTGTAATAAATATGCAGAAGAATCCTCCAAAATATGGCGCATTTAAGGGTTTTGAAAAGTAGTACATATCTACAATTTTTTATATACAATTTCCTCCTCATTTATGCACTGTTTAGACCCACTTTTAAGAATTTTCAGCAATATGTTGATAGAATTACATAATAATTAATAATAATTATTCGCTATTTGCAATGTGTAACACTAATTACAATGTTATTATTTTTATGGAAAACACACATGTGTTATCTGTAATTTCTCTGAAACATATTTTGTCCACAAATAAATAACAAGAATTTACTGCTGAAGCGTAGGCAATATCGCATTTCAAGGCATATTTGTCAGTAAAAATTCAATTTATAATTTTTTGCACTAAACTTGCTGCAGACAATGAATTAATCAAATTTGGTTAATAAGCTCTGATTCCTAATTTTATAATATTAAAGTATACGAACAGTAAAAAAGATACAAATTTGACAGCTCATTCCATGTAAGATTTATTAAGTAATATTTTGATATGACATTATTAATTTATTAGCCGGGATAAATAAGACGGTAATCTTAAGGAACATTTTAAAAACTTCAGTTATCGGTTTGATAATTTTGAAGTTTTGAATATGTGCACATGTACAACCTTAATTTTCGTGTTCTAGAGTCTACGAAATGTCAAGAATAATTGAAATTAGGCATGCACTGTTTGCTAATCAGCTGTTCAGACTACAATGGATTGTTAGTGTCACTGATACTTCAGGTAACATTGGTTCTGAAATTTTAGTTTAATTATAATAGTATCTTGACAGTTAATTTTGGTTACTACTTATCTTTATGTGATATTCCTTACGGGTCCTAGTTTTAGTTTTAATCTGTAGTTAATTTCGCACTCTGATATTAATTTAAACTTCTGGTTACAGTTCCGCCGTTATTTGTTTCGTGTCTTTTTTTATTATTAAGAATCAACAGGTGTGGCAATGTCGATATGTACGGCTTAAAACCTATTACTGCTTATCAAGCTGCTGTAAAATTCAAATATACGTGAATAAAAGAAATAAACTTAACTAACATGTCAGGTAAAGTAAGAATGACATCAGTATAATTTTTGACTTGTCATGTTTTTACTGTGGCACTAAAGACGCATAAAACAGAAAGATATTTACAATGTACATATTTCAGATGTTTTTATTAATAATTACTAGGGATGTACCGACTAGTGGCCGACCGGTCGGATAAGCCGACTATTCGGCCGTTTTTCATCGTCGGCTGCAGTCGGCGACTAGTCGGCTAAACAGCCGATCGGTCGGCTTTTTTTATTAAAATTAAAATAGTATATAAAACAATTAAACCCGGTTTACAGAACCTCAATTAAATATTTAATTGCGATTTAATTTTTAACCCCGCGTTAAAGTATCATGTGACCGACTCTACGCCAATCAGACGTCGCTAATGGCCTTGTTAAATGCGCGATCAACTTTAACTCAGTTAAAATATTGTATAAACTGGCCCTAAATTGTGTTATTCTTTATTTTTGTACTGAGTTACTAAAAAATTAAATGTTAAAATTATCCAAACAAATTTAACACATTTTTTGGAAAACAAAGGAACTTCAGTTATTCCTTTTATTAAAATAGAACAAACCTTTAAGGTAGCCAGAGAAATAGAAAAAAAAACACACTGTTTGTCGCATTTATAAATCGGTTTTAGCAAAGCCGAACAGTCGGCCGACTAGTCGGTTTTTACTGGCCGAACAATCGGCTAGTCGGTTAGTCGGCCAGACCTACAGTCGGTACATCTCTAATAATTACATTGAGCACTAAAGGCAACACACAATAGTAATTCTTAATAATGGCCATTTGTTTATTATGGTACTTAAAAAAGTGTATTTTGATGATTGCAAAGTAGCAGAGTACTAAAGAAACACCAGAGGGGGACACCGGAAAATATATGTACATACATATATGTCAATACTCACTCAATAGTGAGTCACTAAGCGTGCGGTGCTTGATATCGTCAAACACCAAATTTGCACCGTTCTTAAAGGATTACCTATATTCTAAAATATATTGAACTATATAGAGTGTCCTGTTTTTAAGGTGCAACACACAACTTGGTTTTTTTACATCAAATGTCCTATATATTTTTACATATACTCATTAGCCTCTCCCGATATACAGAGTATTCATTCTAAAACTTTACAATTTTCAAATACACGATATTTCAGTTTTTTCAAGTGATAAAATTGTATGTGTTCGTTCTATTTGAAAAAACTGAAATAAAGAAAAAGCAGAATACTCTGTATAGTTGAAATGAGAGAATAGTCCTCAATGAACCGTACAATTTGGCCTTTGACTTTTTTTTTCTATTTCTAATAATATAATTAATGAGATATCGAGGAGCGCCCGCTTAGTGACTCACCCTGTGTACCTATATTTGTGTTTTATTTTCGTGCATATTTCGACAGAAAGTGTTGTATGTCATTTCTGACATATCTATCATTTATGCGGCACTAAGAATGTAGTTGCGAAGTCACTGCTAATGCCATTAATCTAGCTGTTTTTCACAAATTAGCTACGTGCTACGTTGCTCTCTGTTACTATTTATGCATGTGGCAGAGAAAAAAGCAGAACTAACATCTACACAAAAAGACGCGACTTATTTCTTTCCGAATCGTTAAAAAACGATAAATCCCTTCATTGCCAACAAGAGTTTTATGCAATATTATTTTGCAACTACTGCACAGTCGGATTAATTTTCTCACTGAAAGTTCATTACTACACACTACTTTACTTGTTAATGAACCTTCACTATTCTCAATTTATTTTAATTGAGTAAGTTGTAAGTAAGTAATGTAAAAAAATCTTGTTCCATACTTTTGTCCGTCCCTGTACATTTTTGTTTTTCTTTATTTGGCAAATCATCCCCACCAACAATTTGATGACGTGAACTCCAAAATTTACAATAGTAAATTTGTTTTTATTTTTGTAAAAAAAGATACTCCTACATTTGTAATATATGAATCCGTGTTGAGTTTTCACCCTAGACAACTGCAACACCGAATGCTCTGAAATCTTGCAAAAGTTTTAAGGTTAATGTAATCTGCAAAAACTGATGACGTCATCTCAAAATTTTGCCGAATAAATTCTCCCTGAAATATGCAAAATATTATGACTCTATACTTGTGGTTTATTAATGCACTCATAGTTTTTAGTATTACTTATACAGAGTGACTCAAAAAAATAAATGAATGAGGCAATTTATTGTATTGATTAAATCAAGAACGACTTAGTCCATTTTCCTGAAAATTTGGGTATACAGTATCGTTATTTTTAGTATTACACGGCATCTAACCAAAATGATTTACGTGTCCTTGCAAAAATCACAAAATTTTGTATTTGAAAAACTCACTTGAAACTAACACGTAGGATGCTTCTTTACCTTTACTTTAATATTACATTCATATCTTTATTTTAACTTATAAGGTTTATCATAAAAAAAAATCGCAAAATCAAATCTTATAATTTTTCGAAAAATTTGGATAAACAAAATCATTTAATAGATTTTGTTATGCGATTCAGTACGCTACCAATAAATAATTTCTAATACGAATGTTAACATTTTATTGTAAATATATTATTTCTTTTTAAACCTGATAATCTATATGTAGGGAATTAAAATTAAAGGTAAGATTACCAAACCACAGATAAAGAAGCATGTGATTCCACATATTTCAATTAAGCTGGGCTAAACAAAATTTTGCGATCACGTCATCGATTTTTTGAAGGGCATAATTGAAAGAAATTTTGGAAGGCCATTAAGTAAAAACGCTTACCGTTGACTTTATTACGGGTGAACTGGTTTCTAGACAAACTGAACTACTATCGATGCTGAAGTCATCGAAACCGGTTCACTTGTAATAAATAAAACCAACAGTGAAGACTGCAGTATTCAATAACTGAATTTCAATCAGAACTTCACGCCGGCTAACATAAATCAAAATAAAATTTTGTTAATCAGCTAAGTTAATGTTTTATTGAAAATTTGAATGAATTCAATTGACACAGTTAAAATCGCCGACAGAATTAAAAAATTGAATTTTTCAGAAAAATAAAAAAAAATGTTGGAAAACTGAATCTACAGGTATGGGGACACTCGTATTTAAGAATGAATAACTTTGGTATAAAACTGAAAGTCAAAAAGAAAATTAATTCACGAAATGATAACAAAGGTCGGAAAAGTTCCACTTTGTAAAAATTAATTTAAAAGTAGTACTTACGAGTATCTAAAAAAATTGTAATTTTTGAATAAAAAAACCGGGATTTGAAGCAAATAAAAATAGAAAGCGACTTCAGACTTGCTTGCATTTGTCAATACACCTTATCAGGGCCGGCCCTAAGGGACCGGGCGCCCCGATGCAA